GTCCATTTGTAACTTTCTAAAATCAAAGTTTTAATTACCCTTTTGCTGTTTATTCCAAAAACAATTTTTTAAAGTCCTTAAGCTTGTATTTAAAACTTCTTTCACTAAGAATTGAAGGAAACTCACCCGGTGCTGTAAAACCTGTCAATCCAAAGGTTCCTAATAGCTAAAAAGCAGTTAACAATCAATTTCCAAAAGTGATTAGAAAAGAAAGTATGCGAACTCAGTAGGGTGCTAACTGCAGTTTGAGCAAGATGATTATTCCCTTGTCTCCTAGAGCTCTAAATCCTCCAGAGACCACTGTCTTGTGGTTTCCTCGTGAGGAGCAACTGTTTGGAGCACTTGTGGATGATCTCAAGTCCTTTCCTTGTTTGGAGAATTATCAAAGAGCCTGTCTACTCACTGGCTCTTCATTCTGCTGTAGTTGTTGGCTCCGCTTTTCATGAAGCTGTCTTCACTCTGCCATTTCTTCCCCAGAAGTCAATTTCAGTTTGTAATATCCAAGTACATGGACAGGCCACTGCAAGTGTTATATTCTACAACTTGATTTCTGGATCTCTGGGTAACTTGGCTTCTAAATTTTAACTAGATATTTATTAGAGATGGCTTTGTTAATATCATAAAAGCTTCACTGAGAGATAGCAGGATACCTCCATCTTAAAAGGAGGAAATTATTAGATCTCTTCTTAACAAGATTTCTTTCAATCCTCCTTGAAGATGGACAATTATAAACAAGTCTCTAATCTTTCATGATTGGGAAAAGTTATTGAGAGGGTGGGAGCTTCTCTGATACAGATAGACTTGGTGAAAGCTGATTAACCTGGTTCTGTTCCTGTCTCTTAGGTAGATTTGACACAGTATCATTCAGCTGCTCTTTGAGCTATTGTATTTTAAGATTAAGAGGTCCATTCTATATCCAATGCTCGTGGTATCTATACAAAACCACTGGAAGAGATCATCAGGAAATCTGGAACAAGGTCACATCAGCAGGCTGATAATATAAAAATCTATTTCTCTGTAATACTAAGGAGTACCATATGTTGTGAAAAGTTCATGATTAAAATTGGTGTCACTATCAACTATTCCAATTACACCTATTTTCCCCCTTGAAATACTACTCCAAATGTCTGAGGTGCAGTATGAAGTGAGACTTTTAAGTAAGGGGCTGTAGCTTAAAAATATGCAGAAAGCCATCTCAGCTGCTCTCTCTCAATGACAAATGCAGTTTCTGTCACACTTCCCTTGCAGTCTAAACTGGAAACCATTAATCCAAAGGACAACATACTAAGAGCTCTGATTAATAATATTTATTAGAAAGAAGTTACGGTTGCAACATAAGGATTCCAGTGAGCACTCTATTTTCAAATGTGACAGGAAATCTAGGGTGGCACATCTCTTGTTTGTTTCTTTCCACTTTTCTATGTATAGGCCTCTTTTTGAAGGATGCGCAGTCTGCATCTGTTCCCTGTTTTTATAACTGTAATTTGTATCAGAGAGCCAGTTTGGTGTAGTGATTAAGGCTAGAAACCGGGAAACTGTGAGTTTTAGTCCTGCCTTAGGCATGAAGCCAGCTGGATGACCTTGGGCCAGTCACCTGTCTCATCCCCAGGAAGAAGGCAATGGCAAACCACTTCCAAAAATCTTGCCAAGAAAACTGGAGGGGCTATTCCAGGAAACCGCCAGGAGTCGACACTGATTCAGAGGCATTGGTGGAGATGGCAAAACTGGCTACTTTGATTAAAGAAAGGACATTGTCCAGTTTTGTTTCTATTTGGAAACTACTCTTGGACTTTTTACTTGACACACAAAAAAATGAAATTTTGATTTTGGGATTTGATGAC